CCGCACCCTTCCTGCATACCATTGCCTTTAGAAAAGGGGAAGGTGTGAAAAGGGGAAAATAGCCTGACTCTCCCACCCGTCACCTTGGCGTGAGAACTGCAGGGCTTACCTGGTTGCATGAAACCTGCACAGTTTCGGCCCAACCCCTGGGACACAGACCTCCCCACTTGGTGACCATTGGGCCATATATGGTAATATGCAAGCACAGGAAAGCGATGTGCAGATTTGGGGATAAATACCCATGGCACAGTTCGCTCTAGGAGGTCTTCGCAACACACGTACCACCATGCGTGTGCCTTCTCGTATAATTCCAAGCGCTGCCGGCCTGATCAACCGACCAGCCACCTCCCCCGACTCTCGGGCGTAACCAAGGCCTTCGCAACCGAACCGATATCTGTGAAATGTTCTATTTGCTGTGTAAGTTGGTATGTATGATTTGATTTTTTCCTGTTGTATAAGCTTAGTGTTGTAGTTGTTTTTGGGTAGTACATAAGAGTTTGTAGTTATCACTGTTATTTACTGTAGCTGGATGTTTTAAGATTAGAGACTATTCCCCTCGCCATTCCCATCCTTATATCTCTGACACGTTTTACTAGAAGCCATAGAATAAATATAATAAATACTGTAAATTCATTATTAACACGGTCTATTAAAAATCTTGGAATAAATACTATAAATTCACCACTGTCATAAATAAATAATTTTTATTTGATAAAACTGTCCACCTGGTTCTGTCCTTCCCCCCTTGGGTATTCATCATCGGACCTGTGATTCTCGCAACACTTGCCAATGTAGACACAGCCTACACATTTACAGGACAGTTTTGCCCTCAAATAGGTATTAATACAATGAAGACTCTGCTACCAAAATCATATCTTTACTATGCTCTTTTGATGGTTAACCTTCAGATATTTAGATTCCAAGGCCAGAGGGGGCCATTGTAATCATTTAGTCTGACCTTGTGTGTGGCATGTTCTGACCACATTCCAGTTCATTAAAACCCACTCCTTCCAGTGAAGTTGGCTAGGGACCAAATTGAGGCAGAATTTTGACCCAATTCAAGGGGAGAGAAACTTTGAGATTTCAGAGGGTGTGTGTACATGACAGCCCACGTGTTCCTGCAGTTGTGCACTCAGTACAATGACTATAAATGCGTGCACTGCAGCTGTAATTTGGACTCCCCTTTGTGTAGCCTTTGCCTAACTCAAATTGTGCAGTTGCTTTGAAGTAATAGCTATTATAAATAAAACCATACCTCATCCGTGTGAGCCAGGTATAGAACACTTAACCTTATACTCTGTGGCCAGAATGAATAGAGATGCTTGGAGAAAGCCCAAAGAAATAATTAAAAAAAAAAATAGCAGCCATCATGTGGCAGGACTAATCGATAGTACGTGACCTTGCAGTGAAATGCCCTACCAATTGCACGTCAGCAGAAGTTACATTTTGTTCCTTCCTTCCTATACCTTGGGGTTTTTTCACTTCCAGACTGTGACCACAGCCTGCCAATAGCAGATGTATAGTAAAAACTATAATGATGATAATAGCTTATGACCCTGCCCGGGGAGAGGAAAGGGGACGTGGTTGCTGAATACCTTTATCTGACATTGATGCCATCCCTGAGCAAGTACACATCCACCCGTGGCTTAGGGTTTTGTGACTGAGGACTGTAGTGCATTATGCATTTGTTTTATTTGCACTGCACCTTTGAATCCCTAGGAACTCTGCAGAGATGGGAGCCATTTTGTGCTCAGAGCTGCTAGAGAAAAGGGACGCACACTGTACTTTGGAAGACCGTTTGTTCCTGTTGTGATGTTGTTTTCCATAATTTAAATTCATTTTAGAAACAGCATGTCTGGTTTTTTGTAACTGGAAATACAACAAGGCTCATCTTTCAGGTAAGTTTGGGAGTTTCACTAGAAAGTTTTCTTTTTCTTCCAGCAGTTTAATAACTATTATGTAAGGAAGGCAAAAAGGGGGTGATGTGTCATTCCAGCATTTTATGGAGGACTCAAACCCAAAATTGTCATTGCTGACTGGCAAATTAAAAAACAGGCTTTCGACAACAAGGCCTAGAATTTCATTAACTTTGATAGGGAGAGAGAGAGCACAATGGCATATACAACTGCATGCCTAATTTAGCGAAGTAATTATTGCAAATAACCCACTACAAGTTTACCTGATCATTTGCATGTATGGTTGCTACTATTGTGTATGTAAATATACATGAACTTTGTCTGAACAAATGTATATGCACCATTCTGAAAAGTCTGGAAATTGAAGTATATACACGCACATGTGCTTCATTTATTATTTACATCCAACCTTATAAACACCTATTTAAACAAGTCCCTGTTCTAAAGAGCTTATACCCTAATATGACGGGAGCCTGGATCTAATACAGACAATGAAGAAATGAGTCATAGAGCTGAGGGCCAGAAGGGATCACCAGATCATCCAGTCACTAATGAGACCTGAGCTGGAGCAGAGAGAAGGAGGTGAGTTTAAAGGAGGAAAGCCAGGATGTTTGGCACATGGGCAGGGGAAAGCTGAACCAAGGCTAATGGGAAGAGAAACAAAAGGGCATTTTCTCCTAACTGTTCCTTTTGACTGACAAACACAGAGTGAGTCAAGCTGGTCTGCCAGCAAAGCCAAAAAACCCTGTACTTTGAGATAACATTGTGAGTATGGACATAGCTGTATAATTAGTCAGGCAGAATATTTTGGAGTATGGAAACTCCTGCAATTGTGCTGTGGTTATCCCCCACAGGTCTGACTAACGGCCAGCCCTTATGCTTAGATTTCTCTCCAAAGGCTATGACTAGTGCATTCCAAAGCTTACCAGTAACCAAGCAGCTCTTTTAAAGCAGGGTGTATTTATTGGAAGACAAAAGGATACAGAGAAAATATGAAACAAGAGAAGACCTAAATGGACTCTAAAACATACCAGGTGTTGCCCATCTTCCCCATGGGGAAGTCTGACAAGTCAAAGGTCTTCAAAGACTTCAACAGACTTTGATCTCCCCTCTTCGACAAAAGGATTGTGTCTGTTTGTTGAATCAGATGGGCCTTTATTTTGTCAGGCTTAATTCAGGCCATGTCTGCACTACTCAAGTTATGTCCATGTGCAGCCAGTGACTTTTGGATATTGCTTTGGGCACATGTAGCCAATTGCTTGTATGGGTGCTGCACATGCTCACCCCAAATGTCAATGAAAAATTTGTAAGCAGCTGGAGGATAATAGGGTTATAGGAATAAACAGTGTGGATTTGTTAAGAAGAACTCATGTAAATCCACCTAATTTCCATCTTTAACCAGGTCACTGGCCTAATGGATGTGGAGGGAGGCAGTAAATGTGACATATCTTGATTCTAGTCAGGGTTTTTGACATATTCCCACATGAAATTCTTATACGCCAACTAGGGAACCACAGACTAGATGAAATTGCTATTAGGAGTATGCCAAACCATTTGAAAGACCATAAACAAAGAGTAGTTATCTATGGCTCACTGTCAGACTGGAAGGGCATATTTAGAAGGGTCCCAGAGTGGCCAGTCCTCAGTCCAATACTAGCCAGTATTTTCATCAAATGACTTGGATAATGGAGTGGAGAGCATGTTTATAAAATCTGCAGATTACCAAGATGGGAGGGGTTGCAATCACTTTGCAGGACAAGATTAGAATTCAAAATGATCTTTAACCAAGCAGCTCTTTTAAACTCTTTTACATTGGAGAATTGGTCTGAAATCAAGATGAAATTCAATAAAGGTAAGTGCAAAGTACTTTCCTTAGGAAGGAAAACACAAATGCATAACTACAGATCGGGGGATAAGGCAGTACTAGGCACTACTGCTGCTGAAAAGGAGCTAGGAGTTATAGTGGATCACAAATTGAACATGAATCAATGACATGATGCAGCTGTGAAAAAGGCTAATCGCGTTCTGAGGTTTATTAACAGGAGTGCCCTATGTGATGCTCCAGGTAGAGTACTGTGCCCAATTCTGAGCACCACATTTTAAAAAGATATGGACAAACTGGAGAGTCCAGAGGAGAGCAACGTGATAAAAGTCATTGTAACAGTCTGTGCTTAGAAAGAGGGCGATTGATCAATTATTCTTCATGTCCACAGAAGGAAGGTATTGAGGCCTACCCAGAATATGTCAAATGAGCACCAGTTTAATTGTAAGTGTAAAGGAAAGGCAGCATTGTGAGATACAGGAGATAAAAATAAAAACATAATTTGATTGGATGACCAACAATAACCCCGCTTCTAGGGAAGTAAGTAACTCAGACAGCAGTATGCAACAAAGTGCTGATTACCCCAAATGGAGCAAACGAAAGTTTTTATAAGGGCAGAATGAGACAACAAAAATCTAACGTCAGCAATTGTCAGGCGAATGGAGGAGTACCAAAATACCGAAACAGGTTATATAAGGTTGGCTGAAACAGACCAAGAGCGGATGGGTTGAGAATCCAAAAAGCCAGGTCTGATCCACCAGAGCTCCCTCCCTGGCGCTGAATCTCGCTGCCGCACATAAGCTCCGAAAGGGGAACAAATAAGCTCTGAAAGGGGAACAACACCGGTCGTAAGTTGCAACGAAAAATCCCCCAAAAAGGAAAAACATAAAGAAAAGAGTATCTCCTGAATCTAAGCAATGCTTCTATCTTTCTTAGTGTGAGTATTATATATTTGTTAACTCCATAAATTGTTTAAAGGTAAATCAGGAGGGTATATCTGTAGGAGAAGTTATTATTTCTTGTTTTTTTAACTGTACTGTTTTTCTACTTTTTCTTTGTATATTCTATTGTCTTAAAAGAATCAAAAATAGTGAATTGATTTAAATGAAAAATTAATTATAAAGTAAATAGAAAAAATAAAAAAATCTTTATTTGACCCTAAAAAGAGGTATTCCTCTCTCTGTGGTTTCAAATCCTTTAAAGAACCAAACCCGGTCCTGCCACAGTGCAGGGGGCTGGAGTTGATGGTGTCTGAGGTCCTTTCCAGTAGTACACTTCCATGATTCTATGAAAATAGGGTGCACCATGGGTAGGCATTCCACTGTGCCCTATGACACTGTCCAGCACAATGCTCTATCTGTTTCCCGGCTAAGGAGAAAGGCTGTCAAAAGGGGGAACAAAATCAGGCTTGAATTCAGTCTGAGACATAGCCAAGGGAAAAAAACTAACAAACCCCATAACAGTGCTTTGGAACTGAGAACACTCTGGTCTGAACATCTGCCTTGTCCCTGTGGCCCTCACTACAGCATTTGAACGTCTTAAAATTATTGGTGGTCCCTTCTTCTGCCTTTGAGGAGGAACAAGTGGTTTCTCTTGGAACATATTTCTTTTTTATACGTCTGGAATGCCAAGAGAAAGAAACACATCTTGCAGTTAGCTCTGTAAAATGCGGTGCGCCCTGCTCAGAGTTGTCTGAGCAGCTACTGAATTGTCCTGCTATTAAGAAAGTTCAGCCTCTTTTCTGCTGTCGCATGTGACCCTCTTGAGGGCAACAGCTTCATGTTTCCAGTGGAATGTTGCTGTCATGGTGATGGAGGGGTGTATGATCTCTTTAGTAGCCAGGCAACATCCCTCTGAGTATTTGGATATGATGACGAAGACTTCGAAAACGACTCTGCAGTCAAGGTGCGTGGGAGGAGGGGTGGCTCATGTGGAGAGTGACGTGCTGGAGTGGAGACCCGCTGCAGCATAAGCTGGAGCCTGCCAAAGTAAGTGCTTTTATTCCAAAGTGTAACGAGTTGCAGTAATCAAAATCCAGAGGTCACGTATGTGTGAGCCGCCCTAGGTAGGTCTGTGCCCAGTAGAATGGAGGCGTTTTTCACAGCTGTAGCTCTCTGCGTAGGGAGGAGCCCAGAAGGATCCCAAAGCTGAGGACTCATTTAACAGTCTGAGGGGATGCCCAGAGGAGGTAACTTCCTCTAGGTGCTTCCCTTTGCCCATAAGCATTCCCTTCATCGTGCCTGGGTTCAGCTGTAAGCGAATGGCTTTTCGTCCAGGTGCTGATTTCAGCAAGGCCATGGGAAAGCTGGGAGACAGTGTTGCCTAGCATTGGTGTCTACATTTTGGTGTGTTATGGGAACTGGAGACCCTAGGACAGGGGTGGGGAGCATACGGCTCAGGGGCCGGATTTGGCCTGCAGCTACCCGGGATTTGTCCCCTGAGGCTCCTGCACCTTCCCTCTTCCCTAGACCCCACACCGCAAATCAATTTCCTGATAGTTCCCTCCCACACACTGACCCCCTCATTTTTGACCCCACCCCAGAGCCTGGGGGGGGGACACAAAATTAATAGCCCAGGGCCCCATGGGTCTGGTGTGTGTGAGGAACGTGGGGAGAATCTTTCTGCTTCTCAGTTGGGGGCTATGTCAGTGAGTTTTGGAGGGTTTTTTTCTTCTCACTTTTGTGTGGCTCCTGACTGGTTTTTCTGAGCCCGACCCCAAAATTTCCCCCCAACACTGCCGTAGGGCCATGTTTTCAGGATGCACGATCTCATAGCTCTCATTTCCCCCTCCCATGGCTCTAGGTAGTTCCGATCATGTAGGGGAGAGGTACCGCAGGTGAGGAAGGATCTGGAGGTGACACAGGCCATCAGAACTCTCTGGAGTTAGATATGGAGGCACTGTGACCACTCCTAGGAAAATGGGCCAAGGGTTTGCAAACCCTGCTGTACGCTTGCAGCAATAAATCAGAGTAAAACGTGGAGCTGTTCTTACTCCCAGAACAGCCAGAACAAGCCACGCACAGTGTTGGAGGGAGGCAGTGGATTTTCAAAGCACAATGAAGACTTTATCCTTTCATCAAGTGTTTTGCTGTCTAAGAGGCCACAGGAAGCGAACATTTCTGATTAAATGTCCCATGACTGCAGAATGTGGTTAAACACAAAAGAAGCACTGTACACTTGGGGCATGATATTGCAACCATGTGGCTGTCTCACCTCAAGATTGCTCTGCCTAAATCTTGTTTTAACCAGCAACACTCCAAGTACAGAGGCATGTGTGACTGAGTTGTAATTGCACACAAGGGGTGGATGCCAGAAACACCTGAATTCTAATTCCATGTCTACTATTGGTTCTCTAGGCCTCATTCAGCACTAGTGAAAGTGAATTCAATGTCAAAGACTCCAGTGGAGCTGCTCCCGCTTTCCACACCTATGAATTTAGTCCTGGGAGTTTACATGGCTTAGGTCAGACAATGGTGCATATTAGAAAACGTGCACTGGTTTAATTAGATAGATCTAAGTTCTGGAGTGAAAATGCAACCCCCACACCTAGTAGGTGGTTCACTGTCCCATGTAGTGGCACTTAGACTATTTACTGCCAGAGATAAGAACAAGCAAGCTCTACAGCCTAAGCCAAGAGACACCTGGCTTTATAGTTCAAGCTCTAGAGGTTCCTAAGCTAAGCTCCTGAAGTCCTAGGTTCAAATCTGCCCAGTGCTGGTTACACAACCCCCTTATATAGATGTACTTATTGGGTTATAACCCTTGTTTAAATCAGTTAATTTTTATCAGCATAATCAAAGCCAATTTAGCGAAGGGTGAAGTTAGGGGTTTGCCCCAGTATAATTCTCAAGCTGCCTAGAGTAGTGCATGAGGACCAAGCTGCAGCAGAAGGGCACAAACCCCAAACTGGTTACGAGTTTCTACATTTACATTTAGCCAGCCCAACAGCTAGTAAGAATTCCTCAAGTGCTATTGTTACCCAGGGTGCTTTCAACCCAAATCTCTCGGTAACTTTACTTCTGCGAGGTGGTGTCAGGAAGTATCTCAAGAGAGACATGGCCGTCTGATTGATAGATGGATGGCACATACAGGACACCACAAGAGTGCTTTCACATAAAGCTAAACTTTACTTAGTCTCAAGCATGTACACACGTCCTCATCCAGTTAGTAAAACACCCCCACCCTCGACAATCTAATTAAACCAGTGCATGTTTTCTAATACACACAATTGTCTGACCTAAGCCACGTAAACTCCCGGGACTAAATTCATAGTTTTGGAAAGTGGGAGCAGCTCCACTGGAGTCAATGACATTGCATTGAGTGTGGCTCACAAGTGACACTGCAGCAGGCTTCCAATGGCCAGGTCTTCCGTCCGCCAGGGAGGGAGGGGGGGACTGAAGATGTGTCCAGGTGTAGAGTTCATGAAGGATCCCTAGAAAGTCCCTAAGAGTCCTCGAAGGGTACGTGCAGATTGCACTCTAAAATCAAAATAAAATATGCAATTTGCACTACATAAATTGCATATCTTATTTTGATTTCATTTCAAAATAGACTATTTTGAAATTTGGCGTGTCTACACGGTGCCAAATTTCGAAATAAAGCACTATTTCAAGACATCCCTTATTCCTCATGGAACGAGGTTTAAAGGGATGCCAATATAGCGTATCTGTTATTTCAAAAATTATTTTAAAATAGCGGATATGTTCCTTGGACACAGAGTAGCTATTTCGGGATACCTCTAGTCTCCCGAAATAGCCTTGCAGTCTAGATGTATCCTAAGAGTCCAAGAGGAGTCTCCCTAACCCGGTGGTCACCAACCAGTAGATCAGGATCTACCTGGTAGATCTTGACGCCTCTGACAGGTGATCCTGATTGGTTTGGCTGGGAGGCTATCAAGTACTGGCACGTCAGCTGCCTCTTCCCCCACTGCCCTGCTGCTCCTGCCCAGAGCTTGAGAGCTGCCCCCTGGGAGCCTCCTGCTTGTTGCGCAGAATGGGGGAGACAAGCATGGGGGCATTGATGTCACTCTGTCCCCCTCCCCTGTACGCCATCTTCACAGAGTGAGAAGGGTGGGGCTTCGGTGAAGGGATAGGGCAGGGATATTTGGGTTTGAGGTAGATACTGGATTGACTTAAATTCAAAAAGTGAATTTGTGCTTAAAAAGGTTGGAGACCACTTCCCTAACCCAAACTTTCCTTCCCTATTTATCCGTTAGTACTACAAAAAAATGTCATTCCAAAACAAACAAACAAAAAAAACCCAACCCACCAAAAAACACCAACTTGTTAGGCAAGCACTTTTTAAAGGTTAGGCACAAGGTTTGCACGAGGTGTTCTTCTTATTAATTAGCCAGATGTGTTTTTTCAGAGTCTGCAGGCCCTGGGGCCCTGTCAGACACTGCCCTTCAGGCAGCTACAAACTTCCTGTTTTCTAAATGTTTAGCTCAGCGATTTCAACAGAGATCTGGCCCTCAGGAAGGATGCAGGCTCAAGGTGACCTCTCTGTGGCACCCAAACTCCTTTCTTCCCTCCTCCCCCAACTTAGTCATACTGAGGGTTCTGTCCAGGCCTATTTTCGGCCTGCAGCTTGGTTGCTATTAGCAGTAAGCAATAGTGGTTCAGATACTTTCCTGGATTTGCCGAAATCTCCCGGTATACTAAAGCAGCTTTAACAGTCACAGACAGTCCCCTGGGATACCTCAGTCTGCCTTGCCAGCTTGTCTGTGTGACAGACCATCCCTTACACTGAAAAATCACAACCGTATTCAGGTTACTCCCAGTCCCAACGGACCAAGCACTCACACTAGGTCATTTGCTCCTTGGAGCCTAGGCCAAAGGCAATGCTTGTAGTTACTTTACATAATAAAGTAACGAAAGCATTACTAAGAAAAAGAAATGAGTGTTATTTACAAGACAGGTAACTATACACAGTGGGGGCCATTGGTGAGGGGAAATTCAGGGGACCTCCATCCATGGGACTACCCTCCCCAGCCCAGGAAGGGCTAGGACACCCCCTCCACCTCAGGCCCCGCCTCTCCCATCCCCTCCTGCCCTTGCTCCACCCTCTTCCCTCCTCTTTCCTGTCCTTGCTCCATCCTCCACCCTGCCTCTTCCCCCAAGATCCTCCCCCAAGTGATGGGGCCAGAGGGACTTGTGGGGCACTCACAGCTCGCTCTGCTCCTCCAGCCACGGTGCTCTGTTTCCCACCAGTGAGCGAGGGCCCCCAAGCGACGCGCTGGGAGAGCAGAGTGAACGGTGGATGTGTTGCTCTGTTTACCCTGCTGCTGTTGCTGAGTGCAGGGCGGGGCTGGACCCCTGATGCGCATGCTAGCCCTCCGCTAACCCTGTGGCCACCCAGAGATTCTGACCCCACTGGCTGCTGGCCAGTCTGTGCCCCTCCTTCCCAAGGTGTGGGCGCTTGTGCCCTCTCCTGCCCCACCCCGCCACGTGGCATCCCTGATTATAGTCCTAGGTTCCAAATGGCAACAAGAGTTGTTCTAATGTGGAAGCTGTAGAAGTCCTGGGCCAAGCAGCTGTGGCTCCCTCACTTATGTTCAAAAATCAGAATAATTCCTTGACAAGGAGTTTTATTGCCTTCCCCCGGAGATCAAGCTGATGCAATAAGTGCATGTGCACTGCTCCTTTTCATGGGTGGGGGGAGCAATCAACAAACTCTTTTGTCCACAGATGTTGTCCGGTGTCGATGGGGCTTCTGGGTTGCAAACTTTCTACCTGCACAAAACTGAACACCCCTGCTCTGCCCCTCTTCCAGGGTGCTGTCAGGGACGGCCCATCCATATAGGCAAACTAGGCGATCACCTAGGGTGCCAAGTTAAATGGGGCACCAAATGGTGGCGCAATATCATTGAGGGGTTTGGAGGTGGGGGCGCCGATTGCATGGCTCGCCTAGGGTGCCAGTTGCTGGCAGCTAGTGTAGGGCTGCCCCGGGCGCTGTGTAATACAGGATGTTTTCTGGGAGCACTGCTGAA